TTAAACAAAATATTAATCCTTCATGTGAAAGCAGTGATTTATTGGCCTGTGGCTATAAAATAAAATTATGCATTCATAATTTGTCACAACAATGTAGCAAAATAAACTCTTAGTTTACTATTTACTACTTTCAAGAACTTAACAACACTTATTTTTCTCCATTCTATTTTTATGACAGTGAAGACACTTTTTTTTTGTGAATGATTTGTATTATGTGCTTGCTCACAAAGGGTTATTTTGGTAGAAAGGCCACTTCATGTATGGCATGAAAAGAATCCCAAGGCTAATATTTAGGTCTAACAATAGCCGGTGAAGTGAAGGGCCAGCTGCTCCAAACCATGGCACAATTCACAGAGACAATCTGTAGTAGTTGGCACTACATTTTTTTTGTGGCAAAGTGCCCATGCCTTGCAGGTAAACAGTGAAAATGGCATCAGGTATTTTGAGGCTTGAGGGCTAAAGTATTAGCTGTGTTTGTGAGATTGCCTGTGATGGACACACAGTATTATTTTTCTTCTTTTCAAGCAGCAGCTTAATATTATAAATCCAAAAATGAAAACTGCTGAAAATATAAGCAACCTATGGCCATCCAAGATGTAAATGAATTTGTTTCTACAGAATAGATTTGGAGAAATCTGGCATTACATCACTTGCTCACCAATGAATCCTCTGACAGTGAATAAGTGCCGTCATCACAATAATTCACAAGTAATCACATGATTCCAGTCCATCAATTAATGTCTTGTGAAGCAAAAAGTTGCATGTTTGTAATAACTTCTGGTCAAAATGCCAGTCCATAATAATGCTTCCTTCCAGTGAAAAGTCCATGCCCGGTTGTCCTGTCAAAAGCCACAGACATATTTTTCTAGAATTGTTTTCACTTGTAAACGGTGCTTGATCTGTGCATATTTCTCTTATGATTCAGACAAGACAAATTTTTCACTGGAGAAAGCAATATTATGGACAATGCTGGGTAGTAACTGATTACATGTAATCTGGATAAAGTACTTGTAATTAGATTAAATTTTAACTCTGAATCAGACTAGTTACTTTTTTATCCATTACATAATATTTACACAATTTACAAAAATCCTTTCAATTTTAAGAGTGTTTTATCAACATTTTAACTCTGCATCAACTACTGATGAACACATTAATTTGTATTTGAATTATCCCTCAGTGGGTTATTTAACAATGTATTACTATGTCTTTGGAAGGCCTTTGCTTTCCGATACATTAAAATGCACAAATTCACATTATATCTTATTAACTGTACATGCAATGCAGGGATTCCCAAACTTTTTGTCAGCCAAATCTCTTTCATGCCAGTTTGGGAAAACTTGAAGTAATGTTTAATTCATTTCATGTTAAGAACAACGAATTGACTATATTTTCTTTCTCCTTGGATTTTTTTATATCAGTATGGTACAAGATTATCCTATTTAAATCAATGTGATAAAATTTGTAAGTAATCTTCCCAGCACTGATTATGGATAGAGGACTCTTATATTTTGGCCAGAAGCAACAGTTTGAAGTTAAAAATGTCTTGATGGATTTATGACAAACACAACTTTTTTTCTTCACAAGACATTAATTGACAGACTGGAGTTGTGTAGATTACATGTGGATTATTGTGATATTTTTATCAGCTCTGATTCTGATGGCACCCATTCACTGCAGAGGATTCACTGGTGAGCAAGTGATGTAATGCTAGATTTCTCAAAATCAGTTTGGAATAAACAAACTCATTTACACCTTGGATGGTCTGAGGGTGAGCACATTTTTATTTCTGGGTAAACTAGTCTTTAGAGTACTTTCCACTATTCAGTCCAATATGTCAACTTCTGGTTCAACCAATGGTGTGAGTTTAGGGCAGGACTACCTGTTTGTCCAAAAAAGGAAGAGCATCCCAATTTGCATACTTGTGCCCTATTCTGCTATTTTATATTATGAAAAGTTTGCGTAGTGTATTAACTCTAAAAATTCCAATAAGTGCACTTAAAATACCACCAGATGATGCACTTATTTAAAAAATGTAGAAACCCTTTAAAACACTTCTGCAAACACACTGCAACACCCATGGTGGTAAATTTTGTGTGGGCAAGCATCAAGAATCTAGTTCTTTTCATTCTATTTATGGCACAGACTAAAAAAGAAGCAGATTTTTTCAAAACCTTATGTGTGTAGCAAAACTTTTGTATGAATGGGAAGTAAGGTAAGTTTCTAAATAGGTTGATGTGACTAGTATTCAGACCACAGTCACAGAGAGTAAGAGGATGGGGTTTGGTTTTCATCAAAAGCTGTGCGCCGTTTTTATTGTAGTATTCTAAATTTACATAAAAAAAAAAGAAAGTCTGCCCATGTCCTAGATCCATTATGAAAGTTAACGCACAAATTCCATATACATCTCATTGTATTTTACATAGAGGATAAGAGTATAGGCATGGAGGTGGCATGATCAATCACAAAGCTTAAAAAAACCACAAAAAAAACAACCCTGAATAAATAAGGTGCTGTCTATTAGCAGAGAGTATGTAAGCATGTCACTCTTTTGAGAAGTTTAACATAAAGCCCGTAGCGTGGCAAATCTCGCACCCTCCTTTTACCAATGAAGAGAGAGGGGTTCCAAGCGTACTAAAGCAGAAATGTGAGGAGTAGAGTGAGATGACAATGGAGAGCCTAACTTGTCTGTACAGGTGCATAAGGTAGAGAGTACATCTGGTGGTTACACAGACACTAAGACATCGACGTCTAGTTAAAATGGTATAAAGCAGGTTATCTTTTGTCGATACCTGTATATTCTTTTTCTTGTAGGCAACAAGACATTTTTAAGGTGTTAATTTGCCTCGGCCAATTAGGCCAGACCATTTGAACGTCCAATAGAGCGCAACAGTGCGGTTTTGAAAGTAAAAATCCCATTTACTTACTCCATGGAGAAACCGGTTTTTAACGTGAAAACCTCTGAAAAAATGAGCTGAGTTTAAATGTCATTTAAAAATTTTTAAAAAAAAAACGAAAAAGAGGAATTTACTCTGAGGAACTACACTACCCATAATTCTGAAGAGAGCTCCACCAATCAGAGACTTTGCTGTTATCATGGAAACAAAAATCGCAGCAAGAGTTCAGTAACGACTACCTACACCCATTAAGCACTGCGAATTACAAACAAGTAAATGCTTGTTCACACCAAAACGAATATTTGTTGGGCCAATTTGATACGATAAAATGTTTAATTTTAAATCAACAGCTGTTAATGTGTCTGTTCAGACCAACATGAACCTTCGTACACCATCAATGCGACAATTTATTTATTTTTACGGAAAGGTGTTCTATTCTTTTTCCATTGCACTGCGAAGACCTACACCCATTAAGCACTGCGAATTACAGTAAGTAAATGCTTGTTCACACCAAAACGAATATTTGTTGGGCCAATTTGATGCGATAAAATGTTTAATTTTAAATCAACAGCTGTTAATGTGTCTGTTCAGACCAACATGAACCTTCGTACACCATCAATGCGACAATTTATTTATTTTTACGGAAAGGTGTTCTATTCTTTTTCCATTGCACTGCGAAGAAAACTGGCCAACCAATAAGATTCTCACATGTGATAACATGTCCAGAGCCACTACTGTTACAGTTTGAATTAGCATTTTTATTCAGCCTGTCCTCCATTTTTATGCATTGGTCCAAACAGACAAATTCATATGCAAAAATCGAACCAAATTTGTGGCAAATTCTTGGTAACAGTATTTAAATCTCCTCAAACTTTCAAACTACTACTATATGTTAAATTACAGTAGTCAGCATTTAAAGTGGATCAAAACCTAAAACCATTCTTGTCTTAAGGCAACTTTGATGAGCTTTTTTGATCCACCAAATGTTGACTATGTGTTGCAATATACAACTACACAATGTTTTTATCCTTATAAGGACAAATAAGTCAGTAATTGTAGTTTAATCCATCAAGGTATGCAACCTTGTACCTTTATGTTTTTCATACCTTTTTATTTTGAAAAACAAATAAAATTTGCATATGGTGCATTGTAATTTATCTTGGAACTGGTCAGTTTAGTTATCCTTATGGAGAAAATGAATGGGAAAGACACTGTCGCTGATCAAGTGCGCGGTCACTGTTGTGCTCTACAGCGTCACAGATGAGGAGGGGCAGATAGGAGCCGAGTGACATAAGCATTTAGCAGTTTTTCTTGCGAAGCTACTGCAGGTTTCAATTTTGCTGTTGATTTCCATATTAAACAAAAAGAAAAGTAAAATCCTAAATTTGTAGATATTTCACCCATTTCAAATGGGCTCTGTTCAAGTAACCCTGGGGAAAAAAAAGTTAAAGAAAGCTTTGGGATATTTTGCCTTTTTAATGACAAGGTCATTAAAAATCATGCACGCTGCAAATAACCTCATGCAGTAGTTATGGTAAACCATCCAAGCACTTTTTATTCATTAATATTCATAAATACACACAGCAGCTTCATTAGAGAAGGTCTCTTTGTTTCCTCTTCAGTTTTTGAATGTGGAGTATTTATAAGGAGAGCCTTTTGCAAGACACAGGAAGCAGAGGTCTGCCACAGATACCTACGCTCACCTGCTAAAGGAAAAAAATTAGTTATGTGGAATTGATTATCAACTTATATATATTTATTTATATATTTATATTTCTTATTTTCTCTCACTCTCGTTCCATTTATCTGTCTCTCGGTTTCTCTCAATCTCTCACACACCTGTTCTGATGTATTTAGATTTTTTTTTCCCTCTCGCTCTCCTTTCATGGATTTATACAATGTAACAAAGGTGACAGACCTGAAATTACAATCACCAAAAAAGAAAAAAAAAAAAAAAAAAAATTATAGAGACAAACTGTTTTACACATTAATAATAATAATAATTATTATTATTATTATGTTTTTGAGCAGCAAATCAGCATATTAGAATGATTTCTGAAGGACAGAAGACTGGAGTAATGATGCTGAAAATTCAGCTTTGCATCACAGGAATAAACGCCTTTCGTCCTCGTCGGAAGACGAGCTCTCTTCTCGCATTAGTGTGGACAGCAGCAGCTCCTGCACGAACAGGCTACGGTCCGCGCGCTCGCTCTCCAGCGCCTGCCGTTCTGCCTCGGACATTTTCGGCTCGTTCAACCTGGTGGAATTAGATGGACAAATACTAAACTAGAAATCTAGAAAATCTATTTTAGTCTATTTGATTTCACTTTTCTGAATTCCGTTTTTAATGGTTTAATTACATACAAATAGCCAAATATTGTGTCTAATTAATTCATAAAATTTCAACAGTTACAATTTTAATGATACAGGGCCCTATAAAATATTTCACCTTTTCAGAAATTCTAGTTTTTCTGGATTTTCTGTTTTATGGTTGTTACTACATTAATTATGAAAAATGTTAATAATCAAATGAATGCATAAAACTAACCGTTTCATGAATATATGAATTATAATGAATTATAATGTAATAAAATTACAATTTAATTCCTTTTTTCATCAAAGAAAGTGCTGCACAATAGAGGTTTACTGTCTAATTGTGCTGTCATTAACAAAACATTTTGTGATATTCCTTAATGATATTTTAAATTGTACTTTTATTATTGTTGTTATTTTGAGAAGCACATATACTGTACAAAACTAAGTAATATATTTCGGTCATAATTTCAAGTGAAACCAAACTTTTATTTTGGCAGGCCATAGAAGACTTTGGGCCAGATTTACGCCAGCGCAAACCATCTTTTGGTGTTAAAAGAGTTCTGTCAGGAGTTACTAAAGACGCGCAGTGAAATATTTACGCTGAATATCGTGGAAAGTTATTTTTGTGACTCACCATATTGAATATGCATTTGTAGGAGTTTGCCTTTCAGACGCAAAATTTATGGAAAGAGAGTATTAAAATGAATCACGCAACGCGATTTACTAACATTAGCACTCGTCAAATTACAGGTATTTGTGGCATTATTTAACGCCCAAAAAAATGCATGTCTTAAAACAGGCGGTAATTTGTGCTGCTCTTGGTAGATTGCGCTGGTCATTATGGAAATGATCTGGCTGAGTCTGTGTTCTTTAATGTGTGCATTGTCAGTAAATCACCCACAGAATTTGCCCCTCCCTTTTATGGAATTGCTCTCTAACGCTAATTTGCGCTATTTAGTAAATCTGGCCCTTTGAGTTTCTGCGATAGTTTTAACAAATTAAATGCTCGTGACCTGAACTCTCAGAGCAGCTCTGGCTATGAAGTTCACATGTTCATTTTCTTGTTAAATTTGACTTATTTTAACCAAATTATGCTAAATTTGACATTTTATTTTATAACCAAAAATATTCAATTATTTATTTATTTGTTTGTTTTTAATTTTCTGAAATATCCAAGTATAAATTGTAATTCAGGAACTTAAACATGATCATCATAGAGGGAGGTGTATTATTTTTTAAATAAATTAATTATATGGGGGAAAAAAGTTTAAGGTACTTTTATCAGGTCATTAAAAGCGTAAAAGCTGTAACTATTATATTTACTTGTTTGGAAAAGAGCAGCTTGGCATTCTGCTAAATATCTCAAATTGTGCTCTATGGGGGAAAAATAACAGAAGTCAACAGAACTGATGATGTAAGAAGAAACCCTTTAAAGGGTTAGTTCACCCAAAAATGAAAATTAGTCCATGTTTTACTCATCCTCAAGGCATCCTAGGTGTATATGACTTTCTTCTTTCAGACGAATCCAATCGGAGTTATATTAAAAAATTGTCCTTGCTCTTCCAAGGCTTTATAATGGCATGGGCAGGTGTTTTTGTTCAACAGTCCAAAAGCAGTCAAATAAAGTGCATCCATCCATAATAAAACATGCCTCACACGGCTCCGGGGGGGTGAATGTGGTCGATGTGTTTTTGTAAGAAAATATCCATATTTTAAGGGTTATAAACACCATTCACTTCTTCTAACTGTCGTAGGCGAAAGCCGTTCCGGGCGGATGAAGTAGGACATATGCGTAGCGTAAGCGCCGGTGATTAGTGACGAAAACAGAAGCGCAACAGAGAGAGAACAAAACCAAACACCGGTCACGAATTAGAAGCACAAAATGAGGATTTATAAAGAAAAATGTCAGAGGATTTCGATATAAGCCAAGAGGAGACTGGTTTTCCATTGCTAAAGTAAGGAAACTTTACTTTACTTCCTTTTGGACGTTTGCTTCCTTTGCTCCTGTAAACAAACACTGGTTTTTGCGTGACTCACACACACATGCGCTACGCCTATGTCCTACGTCATCCGCCGGAAAGGCAGTCTCTCGTGAATGCACGTACGACAGTTGGCAGAAGTTACACAAAACTGTTAAAGGGGTCATATGATGCGATTAAAATTTTTCCTTTCTCTTTGAAGTGTTACAAGCTCTTGGTGCATAAAGAAGATCTGTAAAGTTGCAAAGACTAAAGTCTCAAATCCAAAGAGATATTCTTTATAAAAGTTAAGAGTGCCAATCCATAATTTTTTTGGGGAATTTTTATTTATTTATGTTTTAATAAGTATCAGTTCAGGCACCGGAACCGTTTTAAAAGTATCAAATAATGTTACTTTTAGCAACATCATATGACCCCTTTATTATCGTTTTAAATGTGGATATGTTTTTAAACAAAAAACATCAATTTGCTACAGGAGGCCTTTGTTCACCCCCCGGAGCCGTGCGAGGCATGTTTTATTATGGATGGATGCGCTTTATTTGACTACTTTTGGACTATTGAACAAAAACACCCGCCCATGCCATTATAAAGCTTGGAAGAGCAAGGACAATTTTTAGTATAACTCAGATTGGATTCGTCTGAAAGAAGAAAGTCATATACACCTAGGATGCCTTGAGGGCGAGTAAAACATGGGATAATTATCATTTTTGGGTGAACTAACCCTTTAATAATACATAAACAATCTTGAGTGTATGGTTATGTCCGAGCAGTACCGTGTGAGAAGAAACTGGGAGCTGTGGGAGGCCAGCGGGTTGCTCTCAGTCATGGCTGTGTTTGTGGCGGTGTTGGGCGGCGGGATGCTGGCACTGATGTTGCTAGGGTTGCTGCGTTGGCGTGTAGCGTTACGGGCCGTCTCCAGCTGCTGGCGCGCCGCCTGTGCCTGCTGGCGCTCCAGCTGAAGCTGCATTTGCAGTTGCTGCAGCTGCGAGGCCGAGGGGCCAGAAGAGTTGAGCTGTCCTCCTGCGGAGCGCCGCACACCCGACAGCTGAGAGAGCAACTCTGGTGATGTAGACACCGGGAGAAAGACGACAAAAAAAGAGTGTGTGAGAAGACAATCAAAACAACACTTGCATCAACAAAATGAAAGTCCATAAGCCAATTAAGTTAAGGCCTGTATTACACACCTGCTATGGGGTCCATGGCTTCCCTATTGCTTGGAGAGTAGGAGGAGCTTTGTGAAGAGGAGAGCCCACCAGTGGAGCTGCTGGTAAAGTGCATGTTAGTCCTGCGTGCCCGCGGACCGCCCAGTCCCCGCCCAGGGTGGAACATCCGACGAACGTGCCGTACGCCGCTGCTCTCATCGTGCACACACTGGTTAAGGAACAACTGGTTGAGAATGTGTCACAACACACACATCACCTCTCATCCTGAATCATCTAACAATTTCAGGTTTGAGTCTGATAAGGTGTCGTGATTTTATTGCCTTTTTTGCTCCACACTTTTCCATCACTTTATCACTTTCTCTGTTAAAGAGAGAGTTCACCCAAAAATGAAAATTCTGTCATGAATTACTCACCCTCATGTTGTTCCAAACCTGTAAGACCTTTGTTCATCTTCGGAACACAAATTAAGATATTTTTGATGAATTCCGAGAGCTCTCTGACCCTCCCATTGACAGCAAGGATCCTAACACGATCAAGGTTTAGAAACATAGCAAGGACATCGTTAAAATAATCCATTTGACATTAGTGGTTCAACCGTAATTCTACGAAGCTACGAGATTACTTTTTGTGTGCAAAGAAAACAAACATAACACCTTTATTCAACAATTTGTCTCCTCTGCGTCACCCTGTAGCACTATTTTGGAGACTATCACATACGTAAACAACGTATGCAACGTATGTACACGGATATGTTGTTCATGTTCAGATCAAAGCGTAAACAATGTAAAATTATAGTTGAACCACTGATGTCACATGGATTATTTTAACAATGTCCTTGCTACGGTTCTGAGCCTTGATCGTGTTAGGATCCTTGCTGTCTATGGGAGGGTCAGAGAGCTCACGGGATGTATCACAAATATCTTAAAGGGTTAGTTCACCCAAAAATGA